ACTGATCACTCCGCCCCCAAGTGTAGCGCTGGCAAGGTTGAAGGTCGTCGACAGAAGACCGCCATACGGGATGATAGAACCCAAACGATTGAAGATGGAGTTTTTGAGGCCTGCTTCACTACTTCCATCACTCTCAGTGCTTTTGAGGTTCACGAGATGCCCCAAGCTAGCATCATCCAATATGTTTCCCTCTTCGGTGGACCCATGCATTGCCAAGTGTTCAATTGGAGAATTGGGTTTATAAAGATGTAAATTACGCTTGTTTGTACTTGCTTTGCCTGAATGCTGTGTAATAGCTTTAACGAGAAACACCATGAAAATAAAACCACAACAAATAGAAAATAAGAGCGTTTTAACATCTAAAGGACGAGGTTGTTTCTGACAATAAGAATAAAAAAACGATCCAATCGAAGAAAAATGTCCCGTGCTAAAGTAGCCATTAATTTCAGAAAATGCAGCAGCAAACACGGTCATAGGTCTCATCAGTATGCATCACGGAATGAACACACCGTATATTGAAGCTCCTGTACCAAAAACAACAGCAACCACACCAGCAAAAAGAAGTAGATATGTGCAGACGAAGTTCACTATTCCAACCTCCTTCAGACCCCATTGTCCACAGTACATCCGGTAAAGTGCTGGGAGGCAAAATCCTAGAAGGCCCCCACAAAGACTTCCAAGAAGTCCAAACACAGTGTTCACAGTGGGTATAAATAGTCCCAAAAGAAGTGCTGCGAACGACATTGACCCACAGAAAATGATGTGTTTCCACATTGGAATAGTCTGCAAGTTCCAACCAAGGAGATAATAACAAGAATCACGAGCAGGCTGAACGTTTAGAGCAAAACCCACGCACAACTTAACAGCTATGCCTCCAAAAGAAACTGCGAAGAGAGTTTCACGATTAACGTCATAATGCAACAAAACACTGCCTGTAACTTCTGAACCAAAGTCTGCGTAACCAAAGAATCCGGAAGCAGAATACGCAACAAAACACATGAACATACTAAAAGCCGCATAGAGAGTCATCTTGTTTACTGTCGGCTCTGTCATTTCCGCGTATATCTCAAAACAGTTCACTTGACAAAGATACGCAAACATGAAAAGCGATAGTCCCTCAACGACAGCATTCCCAGACTTCCATAGTTTGACGTCATCCCGCAGTTTACCCTCCTTAAATCCGTTTTGAAGGGCGTGAACAACAATACACGCAATAAAAAAAAATATGCAACAAATCGCTAATCCGGATGCATAACGCAAGGAGTTAATATGCTTTGGCAAAGACATGGTAAACATGCCCACAAACCATATGACGCTAGTCATGATTCTTTTGCCACTTTGAGTGCGCAGGAATGATGGAACAGAATCGCTCGCAAAGGCCGTATCAAGAATGTCACCAATCGATATAATGTACGCTACGCACGTCCCAAAAGTAAAGAGCCACATTACACTGGCAATGAAATAGTCCCAACCAGGGCCAAAAAAAGCCCTTGCCATTGCTTCATACGAAGTAAGGTCTGTTAGCTCGCGTGACTCAACCAAAAGCCTTATCGCATAGATTGTAGCCAATGTGACAGTAAATAGAAGCAGAAGGGAGAGTATTATACCACTAAAATTGAAGGCTGAGGGCAAACTAATAATCCCCGCCCCAAGAGTGGCACTTGCCAAGTTAAACGCTGCCGAGAGGAATCCCCCATACGGAACAAGATTCATCAAAAAGTAAGCAAATCGTTTCAGCGAGTATCGGCATGAACCACCCTCTTGAACAGTTTCATCTCCAACAAGAGGTGCCAAGTAGTCCAATGAGAAAATTTCTTCATTCTTTCTAAACATTTTTACTACAATGCCACACGCACCTCTCAATGTGAACGCTGTAAAAGAAAATGAAACAAGAAAAAAAAACCAAAAGGTTCACCAAAAAAGCTATTTCACCTCCTTCTGGTACTGCAGAAACACAGATCACACTACACGAATTAAATATATATAAACATATATATTCAAAAATGGGGCTGCAAACAAGGTATTCTGAAGAGACACCCAACAAGCTCACTGGTTTTTCAGAAACCATTCAAGAGCCACAGAAGCTGCTTTTGGTAATACCTTGCCCCAACGTACCGGGGAATTCAACACTAAACACGAAACAATGAGGGCATCTTTTATCACAAGATCCACCCCTTCACTACAGTGCAAGACTTCGCAAAAACCGTCAGACAAACGAAATTCTATGAAAACCCCATCCTGACGAAAAGACTTCAAAAAGCAGGACCGGGAGCGATCACTGGAGGTCGACATGGGATGGAAAGAAACACCATCCAGATTTATTTTTTTCAAGGCTTCTTTTATCCACGGAAACCTTCGTTGAAGGTCGTTTTTGGCGAGCAACGTAGAATTTTCAAAACTAGATCCTGAATCTATGAAGTAACTCGGAAGATCATCTCTTTGGGGTATTAAAAGATTGGATCCATCCGAGAAGTGGCACCCAAGGGTTTCAAAGTGTATCTGATAGCAAAGAACAACGACAGTTTCCTTTTGAGCATCTCGCCAGACAAGATCAGGAATCATTACCCTGTTGATCAACGCTGAATATGGACTCAATCCCATCTTCTCACCACAGCTCATACATAAGTCTCGGCCGCTACGCGCACAATGAAAAAATGGGGCTTTGGAAAAGTCCTTGGAGCACATGTCGCATGTGTATCCTAATTTATAATCCGGTTCAAGGTCCAGCGGCAGAACCTCATAATAACGAAAAGCGCACTGCTCTCCTCCCCTCATACCCCTAATCTAGACAAAACAAACAGTAGAAAAAAAAACCAACGAGTATTTAGGAGGTGTGACCATAACACGTAGTGGATATCAGAAATCGAAATAGGCACAAACAGCCTTTGAAACTGATATAGAACACAGATTATAGACAGCTACTGCAAGAATTGCAGCCAGTTATTGACAGAGAAGAACATGCCGAGAAAGAACTTCGCAATGACACCGGACCCCTTATTCACTGCAAATTGCATCCGCAACATAAATCCCTTATGAGCAGTTTCACGCTCAATTAATATGCATATACGCTTATATAAGTTTTTAGCTATATACATAAATGTATATAAATAGTCCAATACCTTTTCTACAAACAGAAAAAAAATATGCCAGCAATTCAACATAGAATCAAGACCCAAATAAACCATACTGACGAAACAAACAAAAGACAAACAGGTTGATAACACAGCGCGATTTATATAGTGTTACGCCTTCTACCAAAAGCATCCACAAAACTCTAGAGGTACCATTGTGCAAAACACTCTAATACATCCAATGCGCGTGCCCTTCTATAAATTGTGCGTAACAGTGTTTGCACATTGCACAACTTTGTTACAAGTTGATGAGAAAAGAAGCGTAAAACAACGTAGAAGCCACCACAAGGTCGTCCTTTTAAAACACCCTGCTTAGCTGCATCAACCGCCCGTGACTCTTTTACTAGTAGAAACCAAAGGAACTGCCGGACAAAAAATGAAGTGCCAGTTTATTTTGCTTTCCTGGCCTTTGAAAGGGCAATGATAGGGCAAAAACAAACTGCGCAAGACACTCCGAAGACACAAGCCAACACCACCCCCCCCCCAAAACACGCCCCACAACAACAACTGTGCACCCGCGCCGCCCGACCCACGCCAGGCACCACCCTGAACAACCCACTCGCTCCGGGCCGCGCCCGCCCTTTTTCGGGCGCCCCCCTGGGATTGTTGGGGGGGGGTTCTGGGGACGCAGCGCGTTGGCCCTTGTGAGAAGACGGCCGGGGGGGCCGGTGGCGCCCCATAGGCCGGGGCGGAAGCATCGGGTTGATGCTGCGGGTTCGTGGTGCAGCGCGGGTTCGGGGTGCGGTGCAGGACGTTCCGCCACCATGTTTGGAAGAGGGGCGGTTGCCCCGTCCCGGATGTGTCGCGGAAACGCCGTTTTGGGAAACGGCTTTTTTTTGATTTTGCACCGGCAGCCCCCAGCGCGCCATTGCAACCCATGCGTCGCAAGGGGGCCGCAGCACATAATACTTCTAAAAATCCCCCGTAAGCCGAAACGGAATGGGAGAATCCGGCCAGACGCGCGCTTGGTAAACTGAGTCGCTCGTATGTGGTTTGGCGGCGCGGGCTTGCCTTTTGTTGTTTTCACTGTAAGAAAAACGCTTACAGTTAGCTCATGCACAGGGGAACGTGTATTAAGGCCACTGTCTTTCTGTACATAGAAATTTGGTAGAGTATTACTCAAATTGAGAAGTTTTACCGTACTACCTCCTAAACGACGGCTTCTGTGACAGGAAAAAGGACTTGTGCCATTCCAGTTGTAGTTAGCAATGTCAACTGATAGCATTTAGTGTATATTCTACAGTGGTTGAATACCTTATTTTTATTGCAAAGTGAGGCAGGTGAGCTTGAGCAGCGTTGCCGTTCCACGGTATGTTCTGTTGTATGATGGCCGCCTTTAAAATCGTTTTTATCTTGGCAAAACTCCTAAAGGGATGTTCCGTCACTCCATAGCTCTTTCTGGTTTGTTGTTCGTCGGCAAATCATGAGATGCAAGGTAACATATTGTAACCAAAACGATTGCTTGTGCATTGCAAGTACTTTAACTTGGCTTGATTTGACTCTTCTTGCAGTATCCGTGTCACTTTTCTACATGCCCCATTGCTTGTAGTCTTACGGAGAACATCTCCGTGTTATGCGGGGTCGTTATATTGCCCTTCATGTACTACATGTTTTCCAGTGCTTCTCCTTTCCTACCATAGTTCTACCTCCATCTGCGAAGAATACCGTCTCGTTGGATGACTTTGCTTTTATGTATGTGTGGATGCATGTGTTGCGGGGGGAGGGGGGTAGCGAAAGCACTGTTTCTGTAATTGGTCCGTTGTGTTGTCCTGTGTCACTCTTACTATGC